ATGTCGGTACGTACATATATTCTACGCATCACACATCACTGCATCGCACATCGCACATCGCACACGCACTGCACTGCATCGCACTGTTTTGGATCTGTCTGTTACGCTCTCATGTCTAAATCACTAAACCGAATTGACCTTAAAATGGAACATAAATTATCTTTTATTATGATAAGGGGGTTGGAATAAGGTATGAATGTGTTTACAGGAGTTCGTCATTGTCAAAGATAACTCATAAATCTTTACATTTAAATATTGACATCATATAATAAATACATATTTATTTTAGTCTGCTGCCCCTAATAAACCACGATGGTGGTAAGGTGAAGTGCGAAAAGTTAGTGATGTATAAATATAATAGAAAATGATTTCATGTTTCCATTACAAAAAAAAAATATATAATTAATTATTCATTTGTCAATTAACTAATCATATCACACATACACATTAAAGAAATATACTTAGCGTAATTCCAATAAAAAAAGATGATCAAAAAATAGAAATAGTCTAGAGCAGACCGTTCACGATAAACAAAAAAAAACTAATAAGAAAAAGTGAACGTCTGAAAACTAAAATAAAGTAGACACGTGATTTTGTAATATACTTTTGTATCATCAATAATAACTATAAGTAAAAAAAAAATATAATAACACATAAATTATTTATGAATTTGTTAGTTTAACATTGCCCGTCTCTATTTAAATCAAATCTGTCTTTAAAATTGTGAGAAACATAAATATGTTTAGTTTATGAGATAACGCGTTGTTTTACAGGCAAAAAGTTTTAGAATGAATTGTTGTACACTTTTATTGTGCAACTAAAATCTTAAACATGTTGATATTTCGCACACTTTGAATAAAGTCATTTGAAAATAAAAACAACGTTGCATTTATGGATTTCAGTGCTATCTTTATTGACTACATATACGTAGAATTTGCAAAGTAAAATAATATGAAAGAGAGTAGACTGTGAGATAGCACGATTAAAGATACCGTTCGGAATAATAAAACTGTTATAAAATGCAAAAGAGACATACATATCAAGATCAAATCGATAATTTGCTGTTGGAAGGTGATGTCAGAAGCCATAAAAACTGGCGAGCATGAAAAGAGTAATGAAAGTGGGAAGGCGAAACATGTATGTACCGTGCCTTGTGGTGCTGGACCCTCTGTCTACCCGCAAGTTATACAGCGTGAAGATATAGTTAGATGATAGGGAGCAAATAGGGATCCTAATTAGAGACCGAACTATTATATAGTTTCCGAGAGATAAATAATATTATGAACAGAATGGAAGTAATGTTAAAACAGACCCAAATTAAAGTTAGATTTTTTAAAAGGTTAGTTTAGTTTAAAGAGTGGTGCAACAGGATTGACATTATTCTAATCGATTACACATGTAAGTAATTTAAAACTGTCTAAAAAGTTTGTTATTCGCCAACCCAGAAGAATTGATATTCATTTTACAACTTTAACAGCATTAAATTCACATTTAATTCTAGGTTTATGACTGCTGTATGAAGTTCATTTATTTGCACTTTCCACCTCATTTTTTATCCAAAGTTAATTTGTACGGGGTATGTGGAACCTCTCCCTGTTATCTGTTAACTTGCTACTCAGTAGTTACGTTAAATAGAGGAAAAGGGCGATAACCCACCACGCATAAGTACAGATCAATGTATGCAAAGCATCCGGAACCAAACTAGACGTGCCTTCTTAAGTATGCCTTCCCAAGCACAGAGTTCGAGGCAGTATATTTTTGCTCACCTCTTCTATGACCTGGCCCTTGCGAATCTGTAGAACCCGGCAACATAATGTCCTATCGACCTCCTTCACAATGTGCTCTTGTCTTATGTGTCTTGTATCGTAATTAAGAAATTGTAGTAAAAGAAAGACATCATATTCTCCTCGGACACAAGCAATTAGTTTCAAGGTGAAATAGTTAACCCTTAACCACATTTTTGGTGCGGATCAATCATATATTGTCGCAAGTGTGCCATTGTTAATTGGATACAATTGTTTGAAAGTAAACAAGCGATGAATCAGTTCAAGGCTTCAACAATTAGTTGTTAAAAGAAATTTGACAGACAGTAACGTGGACGCATTAAAATGACATAATAAAATAATCATAATAACATAATAATCATACACAATAAATAATGTTTGAAAATTAATACAGAATTTTATATCGTACCGTTTCCTACCTAGCGGCAGGCCATTGATATTACGAGTATAATTTACTAATCCATGCTAGTTCTCAATTGTATTCTCTTCGTACTTTCATACTTGATCTTTCATTTAATTTCTAGTAGATTTATCAACAGTTCTACATTTTCTTTATTTTGTAGAAAATTAATTATTTGTAATTTTATTTCTCGGTACAAAGTATCCCGTCAGAGATTTACAAACTAATAGCATAGATTATTATATTTCCACCACCACCAGCCCTTTTACGTCCCCACTGCAGGGGCTCAGGCCTTCCTTATGGATGGTTAAGGAGGATGGGCCATGATCCTCCACGCTGGCCCAATGCGGATTGGAGGGTATTGGCGACTGCAAATGCAGCCGGGACCAATGGCTTAACGTGCCTTCCGAAACACGGAGTAGCTCGAGATAATAATTTTTTGGTCACCCATCCTGTGACCGACCCTTGCGAAAGTTGCTTAACGACTACGATCGCGGGCCGCAGCGCTTATCCACTACGCTACTTATTATATTTAATCAAATATAATTATTAGAACAAAATGTTCATGTTAATCGAAAGTTTAAAATATTTCTTTCGTCTGTTCGGGTGAATTGCCTGAACATTCACTAAAATACGCTGACTAGTAGCGAAAAGTGACAAGTGTTTGAAAAATTCGTCAGTCCTGTTAGGTCTTAGGAAGCCACTGAGCTTCCTTAGAGCAGTCGCTCGGATTGTGAAAGTTTGTGGGTTCGAATCCCACCTTTCGCTTTCTGAGCGTTTATTGTTATTAAGTTTATTATCCGAGCAATGTACTCGTATATTGTTGACTAATATATATATTTATTTATCCCTTTATCTTCCAATTCTCGTTTACCACTGATTTTAATTGCCCAGTTGCAAAGGAATCTTTTAAATTCTCTAACAGATCTGAGATTAAAATCTCTATGGAACATCAATTGAGAAAATTGTCTAAATTCAATACAAATCGATTTCCAGAGACAATTCTAATGGTTATTGGTTTTATTGCTTGCATTGTGCATCAGCTGACTTACAAGGTCAGTTTCATTGTTGTCCAGACGAATGTGTCTACTGTTCTATTTCATTACAAGCTTTTTTGATTTGCTGAAATTTTGCCTGCGTATTTACTTAGATGACAATTAATGTTAATCGATCTGGATTGTCCCGGGCATTCCTTACCATTTACCGGGGTAGGACATCTCGAGAGGGTGACACAGAAGGTTTTGACGGGAAAGCCAAATGCACTGGACTGCCGCGCCGTCCCTTACAGTTATGAATTTTATTTTCTTATTAGTTTTGGTATACTTTTGTTTTAAATATTGACGCGTTAATAAAGAAACCTGAAAGAAGGGCTCTTTGATCTTTTCAAGAAATAAATAGTTTAAAAATTTTAATGATATTGTTATTTTTTTACAGGTTTACAGGTTTAAGATAAATGGTTTACTTAAAATTATTCATACGCTTTAAAATGTGTCAATTGTTCATGTTAGAAACTGTCAGACTATTTAAATACTTGATGACATTACAGAAAAAAAAATCAGTTCAATAATTTATATAAATGATTCGTTGCCTTTTTCACAAAACTATAAAACAACTATTAAATATTAGATATGTAATATAAATTATGGTGTACCAAAATATCAAACACTTGATATTTTGTAAGAAAATGTTTTTAGTAAACAAGATCAACGATAACTCTTTAGAATCACCGTTAAATCTGTCACCGAACGAATGTAGGTTAAATATCTAGAAAATTCACATTAAAATTAGTTAAATAAAACTTTACAGCGTGAGTCACCTACGTACCGTTTGTTTTCGTATTATTTACTGTATGGCATTCCTGTGACAATGTTTCATAACATGCTGACGTAAAGAGAACAACTGAATTTAATATTCTTGATTATATGAGAATTTATCAAGTGTGAGAATACTTATCACGATTCTGATTAAGAATAAATGCAAATAAGATTGACCTTAAAATAATTATGAGTTTTTAAGTAGTACAAGGAAATTTTGAAGTAGGTTAAAAAGTTCGCAACAGCTGAAAAAAATTTACGATACCTCAATTTATATTATTTGAGTTAAATAATATTTCGAAATGGATTTCATAGCAAATATTAGGAATATGCTGAGGGAAAAGTTTGATGGCCAATTGCAAACGGTCAATTCATCTATTACTTCTGCAATAATTCCCCTAGTAGCAGTAAATATTCCAGTAGGTCTACTATCCAAGCACCCCAATTAACAATATAGTTTTAACACAATGGTTGCTGCTAGTGCGTTTTTGATATGTTTAAATTTACTTAGTATTTTCAAGGTAATAAGATAAGGTTAAAACTATATTAATTAAAGTGAATTTTTAAAAATATCTGTCAAAAATAAATATAAACAATTTTTGTTTCCTGATTTAATAATCGTTAAACAAGCGTCGCCTAGCAACATAATTAAAAAAGAGACAGGGACCCAATTAGGGTCTATTATTTTTATAGTTTTACCCTTTTGGATAAGTTTTATTCTGCTTGATCTATGTTAATATTTGATCAAAAATTGTTTCAAAAAATATCGTGAAAACAAAGACATATTTTTTTTATAATATACTCTATAAAGAACGGAATGAGACTAAACATTGTATTTTGATTTCATGATTGGTATGTCGGCTAGATAAAAATAATAATAAAACTTTTTGTACTATTTACTATTTTTTTTTTTTCTATGACTAAAAATTAACCAGTCTTCTGTGTGCGACGTGTTAACTATTTAAAAAAATGTTTTTTTTTTAAATGCATTTATAGACTTACCATGTATTGCAATCTTTCATAATTTTCTCGGGCGGGTAGTATTTCTTGCCCTTGTCTTCGCAGGATTTCCCTATATACTCCGGAGGAGGACTGACACCGAGGCAGACCTCTTCATAGTCTGGACAGCAGTCGTCGTGCGCCAACGTTCTGTTACAGAACTGGTCGCAGTAACATAGCGTGCCTAGAAAAAAAAATAACTTGAGATAACAGGCCTAATATATATAATAGATCGAAACGAAAAAGATATCATCAACATTTACGCAAAGGTACTTTTTTTACAAGAAAAAAACAAATAGGGAATGACAACTTTGAAGGATCAATCTCTTATAAACTACGACGCGTAAATCAATTGCTTGCTGTCAGAAAGTGATGTTAAAAGCCATATAAACCGGCGAGCATGTGTGAAAGTGGAGGAGGCGAAAGATGTATGTAAGGACCGTGCCTGGTGCAGGTAGATTCTCCATGCCAAACCGGCACAAGATCCAACGTGAATATATACATTACGCTCAAAGATCGAAATCCTGGTAGTAAAATATCCACATAGCGAAATTAGTGTCATGCATGGCTCTTATGGAAACGCTCACGTCGCGTTGTGGCATTCACAGATATAGATGGATAGAGAACTTCTACGACTTATGTGTGATAACAAGTGACTGCCGCTTATCTAAATACTCACCTAGTATTTGATGTGAACACGTGTCTTGTCTATTCGAACAGCATTGCGATTGCCCTCCTTGACCGCAGTACGGCCCTGGTGGTAAGTCAGGGTATCGATATGCCATCACTGCGCTCAGCGCCGCTATTAATAGTAAATATAGTCTGCAAACAAAAAAAAAGGATATTTTAAGTAAATATAATTATTATATTTGGTCAATGTTGCATTTATAATGAACTAAAAAATATTGTTAATGAAAAACCCAGTTTGTCTTTGCTAGAGAAAAGAAGATTTTTCAAGCATTTTTCATTAAGAATATTTTAGGTAAATATAAATTGAAGAACTCTTTTAAATAATTTGGTACGAAATCATATTTGTTGAATTTTATCTAGTTCTAATTATTAAATAATTTAAAATTAAAAGATCCTTGCTAAAACAAGCTTTCGCTGGGCCAAAGGTCTTGTACAGATAAATTAAACGAACCCAAATGAGGTCAAAAATTCTTTAAAGATCTGGCTAACGTACACACGGCTGTACACCAGGGTTGTCACAATATCTCAATCTCTGCAATTGATTTTGAAGTCTACCCAAAATGTAATAACATTCAAAATTAAATGGAGAACTTGATAGTTTTGTATAATCTGACATGCTGTGCAGTGTATATGATACTATTTTTACTAATCGATAGTATCTTTTACATTAAAAACACGAATTACTTTTACATTATATCTATAATAGTATTACAGTATACTTTATATGAAATTTAACATTTGATAACATCTTAATATTTCTACAAATTGGTATCTGTTGATGTGCGAAGTTCTTTGTAGTTACCGGTACTATCAGTTCTGAAACAGTGTAATTATTCGCCAAACGAACTTGACAAAATTGGGTCAAATGTACGTGAATAATAATTAAATATTTATGAAACTACAAAGTGAATAGACAATTACGACATACATTGGTAAGCACACTTTCGTGAAGGCCGTGAAAAAGATGTAAACAATGAAAATAAGGATCTAATACCTAAGAACTTCAAACTAAATTACTACTTATGTTAGTTTATCTATCAAATAAGGCAGTTAATTAGCCAGTTGCACAAACGTCCGTTAAAATTTTCATTAGTTTAATGCGAAATTACCCATACAAATATGACATTCATTAATGGCGTCATTAAACCTTAATAGACATTTTAGCAACTGACTGAATATGGGTTAGATGTTTTTTAAATCAAGCTTTTGTTTGGTGTATTCTATTATACAAGTTAAGCCCTTTCATTTGGTACCCATATTATGTTACCACACAACAAAATATTTAATTTATTCTGTTTTTTATTATTTATGGTTATAGCAGCAGTATGCTGTCTAACTATCATTAGTTAACGGTCTGATGACAAAAGGACAGACAGAGTTTCACTAAATAGTTCACATATTGGCGCTCGGCAACAACTGTTTTCGCTTCTTTTTTATGTTTATTGAAATTCTAGACCGATGAATAAATTAAGTTGTAAAATAAATACTAAGAAACTAACGGGTTTGATAATTTATATGCTAATAAAGTGTAAAATTTAAATACATGATTTGGTTTGTAGAAAAACAAATTTTCAATTAACGAGATTATATTTCTTATTGCGAATAAAATGTTCACAATGGTAGCAGTACTGTTGCTCAGACTAGTCTAAATTTACTTTTAGTCCTTTCAAACTGCGTTTTTAGTAGAGAAAATAAGATAACATAATGAAACAGAAATGCTTAAATAATCCACCAACCCCTCTCTCTACTCCGATATATATATTTATCAGTATGTGATACTAAATGGATACAAGAATATAACAATATTTCCTTATGAATATAGAATAATGTTGTAATAAACCCAAATTAAAGTTTAAATATTAGTTTAATATAATGGTACAGCTGAATTGGCACCAGTGTTATTTTAAATTCGCACATATATTACAAAGCCTACACTAATACGCTGTAAATCTGTATAAATCGCTATGAAAACTTGAGTTAGTGTTACAGACTGTGCCGTTATCGGTCACAAGTAGGTCGATACTCTTTTACTGTTGCTCGAGTATAGATTTCCACAAATACGATCGATGGTTCGATTGTTATTTGTATGACGTACAAATTTTATCTTCATTAGGTGTCTGCATTTGTTCAGACATGATTTATTTTTAAGCTTCTCTTGGTTAAAAGGAAAAAAGTTGCCTTTGCATCATGACTCCTCAGTCGCAGAACTCCAAAATTGAAAAATTTAATGATATAACCGCTGTCGCGCGTCTTTGTCCCCGTAAATTTATAACCTACTAGCTTTCGCCAGCGGCTTCGTCCGCGTGGACCCTAGGGAAATGTTAAGTGGGATAAAAAGTATCCTATTATCTAAGTCAGCTAATACCCTATCTGTATACCAAATTTCATCAAAATCCGTTCAGTAGTAGTTTCAGTAGTTTCAAAACTTTTTCAATGTCAACAAACAAACAATAAAAATATTCCATATTATTATATGTCCCTGTCTAATTGGTCTTTAAATATTTTTTCGTAATGTTCTATGCAATACCTACATCTCCTTCCGCCTTTATTTATATCACTGTCTCATCCCTTAATTTGCAACTCTCAATTTCCCTTCAGCTTTTAATACAATCTTAAGGTGTACACCAATATGTCATCATATACACGCACCGGCCGCACGACACGCAACGGATTATATTAAATAATCCTATTACGTCATCGGGCAAAACTGACAATCGCATTTTTCATAGAAGCATCTGTGAAAACTGCCGTGTATGTATGACGTCGACAAATCCGTGCAATGCGTTGCGTGTCGTGCGGCCGGTGCGTGCATATTGTGGCAGTGGAAGAGCACCTTTTAACTTATTCGAATACAAGAAATAAAATTAAGAGTACTGTTATTTTTAATCTGTTATCCGAACTCGTTTAATCCGACACCGCACCGTGCCATTTCGCAACACATCAGGCGCCAGAAGAAATAAAAATAAATACCTACCACGTAGCTAATTAAGATAAATCGTCTGCATAAACCATGAGTGATGGTTTCATTGAAAGCTTTCGTATCAAGAGTGCAATTTAATCATTCGAATAATTTCGGCATTTAAACGTGAGTTTAAAAAACTAGAATATGTTGATTTATATGGTGTGACTGACTCACACCTCGAAAGTTCTGTTTTGTAATACAAAAAAGGAAAATGAATCAATATCTTATTAAGGGACCTCCCGTGGGATTAGGCTTATTATTTTTTGTTCTGATCGAGGAATAAAGGTAAACGTCGACGTGCGCAACGGATTTGTATGAATTTGTACTACATCACTGCGTCCACTATAGGTACAGACCGCACTGACCATATGAATTATATGGGTAAAGAGAATGCAATGTGTGACTTACTTTATATGTTTTAAGATTTCAAAAAAAGAAAAACGAAGCAGTTACAGGATGATTCGTTTTTTTAATATTAAAGATAAGCGTTCGTAGAAATAGGATTATATGAAAATAAAATAATACTCGGTAGCAATTAATAGGAACTCACTAAATAAAATGTTCAATACACATCTTTGAGAGATTATAAAACAATAATATAAAAATCTCTACATTGAGAATGATGGAATAAAAGAAATCAGTTATAAATGAAGGATTGTTTCTATACATCGAATAAGCTACGAAAGTACTGAACGGATTATATAAATTCTTTCACTTACTAGATTTTATTTTCATTTATTATCAAGTAAACAAACATATACATAACAAACAGTTTAAGATAACATCTAAAAAACCACTGAGGTTTGAGTTGTGCTATCAGAGTTTACAACTTGTTTTTATTTTCGTAATTATAAAATCAGATCCTACATATTAAATCAAATACAAACATTGCAATCAATTGACAATTACAATAATAACCTAAAATGATTTACAATGTATTATTACCCAAAAAGTACCCCTTTAACCCTTAAACTTTTATTTAATATTTTTTCTGGATATGCTGTCTTTTAATTCATTCATAGTAACATTTTATGATTTACGCGAGCGAAGTAGCAGGAAAATAGCTAGTTAAAAATAAAATAATAAAATCTGGAGAAACCACAGTAAACCGTTTTAAAGGCAACGTGACTAAACTCTAGTTAACTCATAAAGGTTAATGTTCCTGTATTAAGATCACTCGATGGTCGATTTGGACAAGATTCAAGTGCGTGAGTACAACACTCGAATATTTTATCGTATACTTGTGAAACAGTGTCGTCATTGTGATGACATATCATGTGTTAAATGCTACTGTGTTACGTGATATATTATAATAATTGTTATTACACTAGTTAGTTGGTATCTCGTTTTGTAAAGTGGTTTGTGGTAAGAGTTGAATAATAGTTTCGATGGAAAGGTTTAGTTTTATTTGATTATCAGTAGATGGTACTATTATTTCAATTTGGTGGTTTTATATTGCTTTTAATAGAAAAAGTATATAAATTCCGCTTATATAGCTGTTATAAAACTAGTATATATATAGCTATAGCTGTTTTTCCGCGACTTTACCCACGTAAATGGCTACGTGACCTGCCAATTTTTAAGACTGGTCCAGTAGTTTCATACAATCAAATATTTCTTTTTTTATATATAAGTATTAATGACACAGATTGTTAATGGTTTTTTAATATTTTTGTCACTTCATGGGTGTACTCAAAGGGTACAATGGAACCCTAATACTATGACTCGGCTATCCGTCGTCTATCTGTCTGTCTGTCACCCACCAGCCCGTACTGTATAGTAAAACAGTTGAACATTTTCACAAATAAATATTTAAGGAAACCCCCTTATTAATTACAATACAAAAAACGTGATTTTTTTGATTGCATTTTATTCATAGAGAATTGTATGGAACCCTTCGTGCGGGAGTCCGACTCGCACTTGGATAGTTGAAATTAGTTTGACAATATTAGTTCCCCTTACATTGTGTGGCGCTGTTTATTAAAAATAAATTCAAATAAATTCGACTCCAATTCGATGCTCACGCAATAATGTATGAATGACAGATTACACCTTGACCTTCAGTATAAGTTAAACGTTTAACCAAATTATCCACTAAACTTTTTCTACAGTAGACTTTACCACCTTATATCTAGTAAGGACAAAATTCAAACGGTTTTATAAAGATTTT